AAGGTGCCAGTTACTGTAGCATTCGTCAACTTTGCATAATCGATGGAAATATTATGCCTTTAATACCCATAGGCATAGGGCATGATGATGATAGGCATAGTGGGTCCAAAAATGCACTGTATGTAGGAAGTCACGTGTTTTGTTTTGACACGGCAACTGCAAAAAACATCAACAATAACACACATGTGTAGTCTACTGACTATAGTTACATTACACTAAAGTTTAGTCTAAACTGCTATTGTGATGGACAAATTATTAATTATAATAATGTTCTTTTCTCCAGATATCTTCATGTGTTATACTTATAGCTGCACAGCCTTCCCTTGAAGGTTACATTATGGCTAGTTACACCTGGGACTGGAGTAATATTTGTGCACAGAATAGTAGTACATTCTACGTCGTCGTAGACAACTGGTTGACAGAATGTGCAGAGCAGATCGTCGTTGTATGTCCAGTTTACGTTCTTCAAGCAGTCGTGTGCGCGTATTTGATTGGGAGAAGCACGATTCTGACACGTTCAGCTGGTGGATTCGTGAACATATGGACAACACTACGTGGTCTGTGCACTGTCTGCCTAATGCTACAACCTGCCCTGCACTACTCCCTTGCACGGGTATTTCATAATGTAGTTTCACCTGTAGACAGCTTCACGTACGCGGTCGTCACGCTGTCATGGTTTTTGCATACTTGCGTGTTGTACCGGCTCAGGTACGTCGTGACAGCCAGCGCTTTCCATCCACTTCTATTAACGTACAACTGGCTACTGACGCTCATGGCTTCCACATTAAAGTTCGTGTCTGTGATACTGAATGACCGCTCAAACTCATCAGCAGCTAATCGTGTGAACGACGTCGATCGTTACGTGGCTTACACGGAGTTAGCGCTTCAGATTCTATACTTTGCATGCACAATCATCGGCGCGCTCGTAAAAAGCCGCAACGATTATACGCTGTCAATAAACCCGGATTTGGAGACGACGCCGATTTTGTCGGAGCACCGCGCTGGCTATCACACGTTGCCGGCTTACCGGGATGGCGCGGGGCAGGAGCCGCTGGGAGTAGCGGCGTCGGACAGCAACTGCCTATCGAAACTTCTCTTCTGGTGGGTGCGCCCACTGATGGTGAAAGGCTACATGGGAAAGCTCAACTCTCACACGGACCTCTTTGATCTACCGCCCTCCGTGACCACCTCAGCCGTGTCTACGAGGTTCCAGCAGAATTACAATGATTGTCACGCTGCATTGCCATGCACCCGGTATATGTCAACCACAGAATGTGCTCCCATTCATACCGTCGGTAGCTGTGATGACTGGGGTCATGCCACAAGTTCGCGCGACCACAACTGGGAACAAGAAAACGACAGAATCGGTGACGGGGGGGCAACGACGACGGAACCGAGGCGGGTGGTTAGTTTGATGAGGGCACTGAACCGTTCGTTCGGTCTCGAGTATTACAGCCTGGGTGTGCTGAAATTCCTGGGCGATGCGTGTGGATTTCTCGGGCCCATCCTGCTGCACGAACTCATCACGTTTATGGAGAATACAGAGGAGCCGGCAAGGAACGGCTATCTGTATGCTACTGGCCTAATGGGTTCGACACTTTTAGGCGCAATGTTGTCAGTGCATTTTAGCTACAGGTAATGTATTTGTCTCTTTTTGCCGAATATGATAAATAATGAAGCGAATTTTGACTCCGTAATGAATTTTATGTCAGTGCATGAAAGAGTGGTGATCCATTTGTGTATTGTAGCATGTACATGGACCTACAGTCAAACCTGTACATATGTCAGGGTTAGTCAAGAGATACCTCACAAGAATATTTTATTGACAAATCTCTAATCAATAGAGGTGGTTTAATTTACTGTATAACTGCCATTTGTGTAACCCCATCTGTAAACACCCAAAGGTGTCATTTATAGACAGGTGCCCTCTCTATAGAAGTGTCTGCTAACCCAGTTATGACTGTGTATGACCTCATATGTAGATGACCATTTTGATAGTTTTCTATAACGATAGCAGTCCACCTAAAAAAAGAGAGTAAAATCTCTGTTGAAACTGTGGTTCTTTTACTAATACTACAGCAATTATAATCAGCTGTAAAGTGTAGTTTATCTCCATAGTGCATGTATTTATATGTTGTCATGAACCCATCAGGAGTGAATAATAATAGATTTTATTAGAATCTATATATAGAATCGATTATTTATATACTATATACATATCGGCAGGAGTAGATAATAGGGAGGAGTGTGACATCAATAAACAAGGGAAATTCGTCATTTACTAGCCTTATAATACCTACGATTTACTACGCGTAACTCATCCAACTTGAGCTCAAATCGGACACAGTACATTCGCCAATCATCGTGCGAAATCGTTTCCTCGTAGACACCCGCAATCCGGAGATACAGCCTAAAACGTACGACACGATTCTCCATTCTTTGGCCATCAATCCAACGCCATTACGCGCCTATAATTCAAACAAAAGGCAGCTACCTAACGCGCTATTGCTAACTAAGCGAGGCATGTGGCTCGCTGGGAGATTAGGCATCAACACTCGGCGAGATAACCTTTGACCCGGTACACAGCTACACAGGCCACCTTTGTACATAGCTGGCATGCCTTCACGCACGCACGCCAACCGCATGATTAGCTCGTCGAGTGTTGCGTCGATCTCCAATCTCCCCGCGAGCCACAACGCCAGGCGGCAGTCTTGCTGCCTTTTGTCTGAATTATAGGCGCGCAATGGGCTGGATTGATGGCCAAAGAATGGAGAATCGTGTCGTACGTTTTAGGCTGTATCTCCGGATTGCGGGTGTCTACGAGGAAACGATTTCGCACGATGCTTGGCGAATGTACTGTGTCCGATTTGAGCTCAAGTTGGATGAGTTACGCGTAGTAAATCGTAGGTATTATAAGGCTAGTAAATGACGAATTTCCCTTGTTTATTGATGTCACACTCCTCCCTATTATCTACTCCTGATATCGGTTCATGGTATTGCACATTGTCTTTCATCAGGGTGTCTCTGGTCAGCATGAAGGTTCGTGCAGCTCTGGTAACGTCAGTCTATAAAAAGTCAGTGCAGGTCAGTCTTGACACAATGGCCACCTTCAACACAGGAGAAATTGTCAACTTCATGAGCAGTGACACAGATAGAATCGTTAACTTCTGCAACAGCTTCCACCAATTCTGGAGCCTGCCATTCCAGATATCCATCTCCCTCTATCTACTACATCAGCAAGTAGGAATGCTTTTAAATATCACCATGAATATGCGTACCTTCCATAAAGATACATATGTTCAGGCGTAGATAATAGAAGATCTTCTATTATCTACTCCTGATATGTTCATGACATCGATGTGTGTGTGTGTGTGTGCGTGTGCGTGTGCGTGTGTGTGTGTGTGTGCGTGTGCATGTGCGTGTGTGTGTATGTGTGTGCATGGAAAATAAAATCAGTACCTGTATGCAAATATCGTCAGCTATATCGACTATCAAAGAATATTTTCCAGTCGACTTTTATCAATTAAATAGTAACTTTAGCGGCATAAATGTGATTCTCGTCGACGTGGGTGCAGAGTTGAATTACCTTCAAGAAACCTTAGGCACTCAACACCCATTCAACATGCATTTATAGTCGTATAGCTAATGGTTTGCATTGTGCTTGCAGGTAGGACTGGCGTTTCTTGCTGGGCTAGGGTTTGCGATCCTCCTCATCCCTGTCAATCGTTGGATTGCTATCAAGATCATGGAACTGAGCAAGTCTATGATGCACCACAAGGACAGCCGTGTCAAGGTCAGTGGAATGCTTCTAGGCAACACTCTAAAAATTTGCTGTTCATGGCGTTTGCTGTCCCATGGCCAACCTGTCAAAAGACGTGCAGATAGCTGTAAGAATTCTAAGAATTATGAAATGAAATTTCCAGTTACTAGCATGTTTTATATAGTCGATACAGTTAATACTCTCTCTCTCTCTATATATATATATCATTTATTTATTTGTTTATTAATCACTTAATTATGTACTGCAATCTGATAGCGGAATATTGTGACGTAGTACTGTTGACTTCAATGCTAGTTCCATTGTCAGCATATGCAACCAATTAATGGAAAGATTGCTGCTCAATAGTATGGATGAGCCATCAGATTATTGTGTTACTAATGTCTTAGGCATTCACTTACTCTACTTCCAATGTGATTGTATGGTCATCAGTTATCTGTTCAACACAATGATATGGAATCCATATAGTGCATGCATAAATATTTCATTGAATTGTACTTTTACATCAAAAATTATCAAAAATATGGACAGGCATTCATTATTCAACTGTCTGTATTTAAGCTGCAATATATGCGTTTATTCGTGACATATACTATTTTTGTGTACAGGTGATTAATGAGCTATTGCACGGTATACGAGTCATTAAGTTCTACGCGTGGGAGAGCTACTTCATGGAGCGCATAAACTCTATGCGGCAGTCGGAGCTTCGGAGTCTGAAGGGGCGCAAGTATCTTGACGCACTGTGTGTCTACTTCTGGGCCACCACTCCCGTACTCATCTCCATCCTAACCTTCTCTACGTACGCGCTAATGGGTAACAAGTTGACAGCTGCAAAGGTGCGTATGGGCCATGTACCCGCTTAGATGACAGTGACAAGTTGCAATTCAAACAATCAAAGCCATACTAACAGATGATCATATAACCTACGTAACCACAGGACCTGGCACTTTCTGGAAACGTGGCTATTATTGTTTGGCCCTAGACAGCTAGTCCTTGAAATTGGGACTATATGTCTCTTTTGTGTGAAGAGGAGTTCACTATAATCACTGATTAGGTGATGCCAGGCACAAAAATTGTACTCTGCTAAAATCTCATGGTCATGGAAAATGGACCATTAAAGTACTAGAAAAATATTAAAAAACGTTTTGTGTAAAGTTTACGAACCTGAATAATAGAGTTTGTTGTGTTAGAGCCTTAATTTTGATGTTAATCAAATGAGAAAATACATCTTTGCACGTTTGCAGGTGTTTACTAGCCTGGCACTGTTCAACATGCTCATTGCCCCACTGAATGCATTTCCATGGGTGATCAATGGACTCATGGAGGCCTGGGTATCATTAGAAAGAGTGCAAGCCTTTCTTCGCCTCACCGATCTGCAACTGAGTTCATACTACTCACCGATGATAGGTAAACTGAATAGGGAGTACTGGATAACGTAAAGATGTAGCCAGTCTCGAAATATTTATACACATTGTTGTATGAGTCTGTAGTTATATCTCCATTTGTTTTACAACAATATTTTAGGTAATATTTGTCACTTTCTTTACACACAAGTCAATATTGGACATATTTTGCAAATAATACAAGCTTTGTTGTTCGTAATCAACTGGCAAGTTTTTGCCACTAGCCTGTGAAATACTAGAGATCTTCTCGTACATTGCACAGACGTATGCCAACACTGCTCATGCTTACCATTTTGTTAAACAAACTCAAATGAAGAAAGCCATAGGAGTATGGGGGCATTGGTATTAGAAACACACTCAGGTGGTTCCAACCACTTTGAATCAGTGTACAATCTTCTCTTTCTCCTCACAGTTCATGGGGCAGATAAAGATAAAGTTGTCAGCATCCGAAATGGAGCATTCCGATGGAGTCACGAAAAACTAACCAGCTATTCACCGGGTGCAGACGAGCTGACAGCATCTAATAATGAGGATTACCTCAGGCAACAGCAGTCGTCGACATACAGTTCCATGCTCAGTCACCTGTGCATGGACATTCACCAGGCAAGCCGCACTTAGGCCACCTTAAACACACTGATCATTTCTTGATGCCGGACCGACCTAATAAAAAAAATATTGGCCAAAGGACAAAAAATTTAACACCATTGAAAATAAAGAAGGAGCTATGAATACATATGTGCACCTGAACCTTCACTAAAAACACTGTCATTCCATTCAATATGGATAGTATTTAGTGGGGATTATAATACGTATACATATTAAATGTTGTACATGCATTTATATGCAGTAAATGTATTCATAATGTGTAAATCGTTTCATGCACACTTCAGGGGCAACTGATTGGAATCGTGGGGAAAATTGGCAGCGGCAAAAGCTCCCTGCTGTATGCTATGCTAGGAGAGATGGAGCGCATCCACGGAACAATTAGCTCTCAAGCGCTTTACCAGGGCTTCGGCTACGCAGCGCAGGAAGCCTGGATACAGCATGGCACTCTGAGAGACAACATACAGTTTGGCAGCCGATACGATGCAAGTAGATACTGGGCGGCCATCGACGCTTGCTGTTTGTTGGATGACCTGAAGGTTTGTTGTTTATCTCACAAACGTGTTGGATGATTTGGAGGTTTATTGAGTGGCCTTAAAGTTTCTCTGGATGACCTTGAACTTCATTGAGTGACCTGGAGGTTTATTAGATGATCTTGAAGTTTTTTCCTGGACGAACTGAACATTTATTACAAGACCTGAAATTTTTGGATGACATAAAGTTTCACTGGATGACCTAAAAGTGTATTGGGTGACTGGAGGTCTTAATGGGGTTTGTCTTAAAGGTTGGATGCTCTAAATGTTTTATGGTATAAAAGTTGGATATCTTATGTTTGGTTCGTGACTTGAAGGTCTGTTTAATGTCCTAATAGTTTATTGGATGGCTGAAGGTTTATTGGATTGCCAGAGAGTTTGTTGGTCTCTTTGGTCGATATTTCTTGTTGGGTCAGTGATACATTTCTGGAAAAAAGGTACATAAGTAGGCTATTTAAGTTAGTAAGTGCTCTTCACAGATTCTACCAGCTGGTGATCAAACAGAGATAGGAGAGAATGGAGTAACTCTTAGTGGAGGTCAGAAGGCAAGGGTGGCATTGGCAAGAGCTATTTATCAGGTGAATAATCATTGATTAGAATCTGTATCAGCGTAATGAACTAGCATTCACTAAAACCCTGGACCGGTGTAACCAGGGAATGAGAAGACTATAGTAATTCTCTTATTTGATATAGTGTTGTAACTTGTTATTGATATTCTCAGAAGTGAATAAAAGAGATTTCTTTCGTGGTATTATCAGTCCCCTGAATCAATGGAATCTAAGGTTGCTGTAATTTTCAGGAGATGGACATTTATCTGTTGGATGACCCATTGTCAGCAGTGGATGCACAAGTAGGCGCACATATATTCAAACAGTGCATTATGGGAGTGCTGTGTAAAAAGACGCGCATTCTTTGCACGCACCATCTGCAGTACATGCAGTTTTGTGATCTCGTTGTGGCACTTGACAGAGGCAAGATAGTGAAATATGGTGAGAGAAACACAATTACAGTATTTATATTGTAAAATTTTAAGAAATAATATTATAATTATTGTGCTACTAAATGTAAGTAAATATGGAATAGAATACTACCTGAATATTCAATTTAATTGATGAAGTCGATAATGGCAGCCTTAAAGACGTTTCGTATTTGCTGCAAACCATTTGCATGATCAGTTGATTTCATGTGAACTGTGAACATTTTTATAGGGCAAAGCCACATTTCTATTGCAGGTCCTCCTTCTGTGGTGCTACAAAATACCGACTTTCTCACCTCGATTTCCACACTGCCATCCAGCAGTTCTCTAGAACTGCAAATGGAGAGCGAAGAGGTGGAATCGGATGAGAGTAAAGTCGAGGGAGAAGTACTCGTGCAAGATGAGGAGAAGGAGGTTGGCGTAGTCAAAATGCAAATCTACTTGGTGTATTGGAAAGCTGTGGGACACTGTCTGGCTGCATCGGTTTTGTTCTCTCTACTCTTCATGCAGGGTAAGCTTAAAAGTTTTATCAGGACCATATCTTGAGCAAATTTTCAAGGGGGACATAATTTCATGTTTCATTTTATTGTCATATTCACGAGATATAACAGTTAAGTGCATTTTTAAAGCCTGAAACATAGGCCTGAAAGGACGTTTTATTATTCTTTATTAAAATTTGGGTTTACATTTTATATTATTTACTTTACTTTTATTCATTTTTTAGCTCATCTGACGTAGTCAGATGCAGCTTGTAGAATCGCATGATCGTCCGTCCGTCCGTGCGTCAACAGTTGGGCACAAATCTTAACCGCTCGACGTACGGTCACGATATTCGGCACATCGGGGGGGATCGGCCAAACGATTGGGATGTCGAAGCTGGGGTCAAAGGTCAAATGTCAAGAGGTGTAAAGAAGGGAACATTCACTCCTTAACTTAAGGTATAGGGAGAAATGCAGAATTGCGGCACAAATCTAAACGGCTCGACCTACAGCTCGTGATAGTCGGTGTATAGCATCATGGTAGGAAAAGCTCACTTGTGCCGAATTGGAGGTCACAGCGTCAAAGGTCAATGGGGCACAGGGCAGATTTTAGACATTTTCTGAGGACATGGTCTGACGGACGCGATTGAAAAACTTTTTTGTTTCGCGTGACTAGCATTTTTTATGGCTTTATTGAAAGGACATAAAATTTTTACCTTTCCGCTGACATGCGAAGAGTAAGTGTCGCGGATAACCTTTTGACCCTCAAGAGGAGGGTTAAACATGGATTTGTTTCTCAACTGCGTTGGCGAGTACCTGTGGGGTGTGGAAAGCTCCCATTTTACAGCTGAAATTCCACACATAACTCTTACTTGAACAACGTTACTTAGGAGATAATGACATGACTTATATATAAGAATTCTGTTAGCACATTATGAATAGTTGGAATACAGTCACTAGCACTCAAATAATTACCCAGGAATGAGGCTTCGGACTTATTTTTCATCAATTTCATCGATTTTCTCATCAAATTTTGGCACCAATATAGACGCACGTGTGTACGTTCTTGAGCTTATTCGGTCCACTAATCACTGGCCTACCTTGTACTGAAATTAGTTTAGAGATATTTGCTATCGTATTGCTGTAAATTGTAATCTTGCACGAGCTGCTCTGCCTCTGGTTGTATCAACCATTGAGCTATTTTTAACGAGCCAGATGTGCCTCGCAAGGGGTTTAATGTACCTTATTACCTGACACCATAGAACGCACATTATGTATAGTAATAATATGGTAATTATTTGCTCCTGCTTTTTGCAATTCGTTGTCACACTGACAGCTGCCATTGCTGCAATGCTTTTGCTGACCGATGCAATGATGCCTTTGATAGCGGCCCGCCATCTATCGGAATTTTATTACACTAGTTTGAAGTGTTGTTTTTTTTGGGTTAGAAATGAACGTATGTATAGGACGTCTTGCTATGCACAAATGAATTTATCAGCAGAACACTAGACTCCAGATGAGCCCTGTCGCTCTGCGGCACTTGTTATATTACATTATATTTTTTGGTTATTTACATTTATTAAGCATGTAATTTGATTTCGCGTTTTCTATCACACAGATTCTCATTTAAAACACCAAGTATAGCTGACATAAAATGGCTTGATCGACTCTCCTCGTCTTCAGTGACTGCCTTTCCTCACTAAGATCTACCTATATTTATTTCCCCAGTGATTAATGCCATTGTCTAGCGAAGCCAGCAACTTGTTTAACCAAACCATGGTGCAATCCCTGCTGTTCACACACTTGTATTCCATATTTAGATATGCTAAAATGAGTGACATAATTACATAAAAAATTAGTTATATGTTACTCCTCGTATTAAATAATTCCCATGTGACATTAACACCAGCCATGGTTTAGTCCTAATAACACCGCCAGCTGTTACGCTGTGTGCCCATGCATGGGTTTCCTCTATAAGTAATCAATAATCGTAGCCCTTTGTGTAGTATCTCCCGGCAGCTACCACACGAGAACTGTTTTTCAATGTCAATCTATTGATCAACTGGCGTTTCTGCTCTTGCCACCCTACCCACATATTCCAACATCTTATTGATAATCAAAAACATTGGACGTTGGAGCAGGATTGTACACACATGAATGTAGCCTAATTGCCCTACTTTGCGTGAACAATTTTTTTATTGTGTACGGTTATGGTTGAAGGTACCAATAAAATATAATGCTAAATTATGCAAAAGTACATTTTTTGATATCTATACACGAAATCGCAGCACAGCTAATTATGCGGTAATTTTTAGTCAATTATACTAAAATTTTGAAAACTGTCTTTTAAAAACCGTTGACATTGCAAAATACGATTGATTGGATATTCCAGCATCTCGGAACATCAGTGACTGGTGGCTGGCATTTTGGGTGTCACACTCCCACGCATCTGGCTTGATGCACGTTCCTGGCAACCTGTCAACAGAGTTGCCACGCGACACCACGTCGGTGCTACTGTGGCAATCATCTTCCTCTGATGACTACCTTTCTTATGGCAGGTATATAGGTATCATGAAGTACACATCCAACAATATAATGACTACCCTGTATGTTCTGGGAGATTTTTTGGTAGGTGGTACTGTGTGAAGCACTCGATTACATCAGTAGTTTGCACACACAGACATCATGCACAATCAATCACCAAAGCTTTAAATCGCTGTTCTACAACAGGCGGGGCTTCGAATATAATATGGCTGTAAAATGGAACGATGAAATTGTCATGTAACTTTGTTACTCATAGCATCGTTGGCTTAAGCAGTGAATAAATAAGTTGATAATCACAAATAGGCAGTATAGCCCCTAAACCATGTAACAACAAAACATTACAGAACTTTGAATGAGTATATAGTCTGTAATTTATCAGTAAAGTAATAATGAAACAATGTTATAAGCATGGTGATGGTAAACCACTGTTACCTGTGTAGCGAGTTGAGCAGCTTTTTCTTGGATAGTAATGGGATTCTGTAGTAAAATTCTCATTCTGTTGTTAAGTGAACCAATATTAAAAATATGAGCTTCAACATAAGTGTAACTGTTGCTAATGCTGGCATCCTTATAAATTATTCATTGACTATAGTCCTCTACTTGGACAGCCAACAGGTTGGGCAATTTAAGACACAGAGTGGCGCTAGGTAGCTAGAGCAAGCTAATTTTACTTAATGAAATACATACTTGTAATGCTGAAGTGTAAGGTCACATGTGTGTGTATATATAGCTGCGTTCACACGAGACTCCGTATTTATGAAATTCGGTATTTGCGAGATACCGAATCTGAGACAAATACGCGACCGAGCGTTCACACGCTGTTTTGCGGCTCCAGAAATGCCATATTTGCGAGCTGCGAGCTGCTTTAGTACACTGAAAAAAAAAAAATGCGTCCAAGCGAACAATCAAGCGACAATGAGAAATAAACAATCAGTGCACAGCTACTGCCGATAAAATACGTAGACTGGTCCGGGCTCGACATTCGCGTTACGCGAGTGTAACTGTCGAGCGCGGACCAGTCTATAAAATATGCGGCTTCAGAAATACGGTATAAATTAGCATTCACACGAGAGAAATACACGGTCCAAGAGATTCAGAATTTCTCAAGCACAACAAATAATTCGGCATCTGGGAAGCCACGTATTTCAACAAATACTGAATCTATTTAGATTCCGTATTTCTTGGACCGCGCATTTTTCCTCGTGTGAACTTAAATCCGAATTTCTTGCTACGTGTGAACG